CTGACAAATCGTGGAGGACATTTATGCTACAGAAAAATCTTCCAGGTTTTCTTTTGACCGTTGACCAAACTAAATGAACAAAGAATATCTGGATTGAAGCCTTGTATTGTGATACCCAAAGATGTTAAAATGAGGAAGCCAGATGAGAACATCATGTAATGGTTAACATGACTAGATTCCGTTTAACATAACTTGATATCAACCAACACACTATCTCAAACTTTTGTGTTCAATTAAGAAAATAACACATTATGTACAGTATAGGCCTAAATACAACAAATACATTTTTTTAAAAATAACCATAATACCGTAATACCTCTTTTGTAACAATGAAACTCTTTAGAAAAGGTACATTAAAATAAATTCACATTTAGAAGTCATGCTGGTAATGTTGCTCATGAGCCACAACTTTACTTTTACTTAAAGTATAATTATGGAGTATATTTCTTAAGCACAAGTACAGTAATGTGTAATAGTAATTGAAACATGTAAAACCATTCTCATAAAGAATTATGTCTACTACACCTGCTTTCAATAACTTCCGGTTTTGTCACTATAGATACTAATAATAGCTTGTAGCTTCTGACTCTATTTTTGAGTCAGTGTGGACAAAATCTATTGTATATAAACAATAAGATAACACTTAAAAGGTACTGTATAAGAGTATGTTAACATATAACATTACTTTGTTAAGACACTTGTGACCTGTTCTTCCACATCTGACACTTAAATATCAATACATGTCTTCATTATATCTAGATTAGAATGGTGTCTTACTTACTGGTTTCTATTAAAATAATAGACTTCAGAATATCATTAAATAAATTATATTTAATATAGTAAGGTAAAAGTATTAAAGTCAAATAATGCTTTTTAAACTGTCACTTTAAATTAACCTGACATGCATTTTTTGTATTTTGTAGAAATCACAGGCTTGATGGTAATAAAACTCAGGTATATAATGCACAATTCTGGTTGGAATTTTTTTATAGAATACTTTTGAATTCTTCAGCACTTTTTCAAGGCATGTGAAACTTGTTTCAATAGTTTTAAATTCACCACTTCAATTTTTCTTCCAACAGAGTTTTTTCTACCCAACGTTCTCTTAAAATATGCTTGATTTCCTCATACATTTGACAATTTCTTATGCAGCAATAATCCTACACAGTATTAGAGGAAGAAAGGTAAGATATTTTACTTTTATATTTTAATATTTTACTGATATGCTTGCCAACAGACCAATAGTAACCTACTTGTAGTATTATGATTTAATGACCCTAAATGAGAATTTCTTCAAATCCCCCTTCTTGACTTTATGTTGTGTTATTGATATCTCTGACTTAAGTCAGAAATGAAAGACATAAGTGCTTGTAAAAGATTAAGAGTTATTATCATAGTAGACCATATGCAGGTACTTTAGACTAGCCAACCTAACCATTTTAAAGGACCCTTTTAAGAACCCCAAGACCAGTGCAGTTTTCTTCCTCTAACAATTATTTTATAGTAATTATCTCTCTCTCTGTTTCAAAAAGGAACATAAAACAAGATGTTATTAACAAGGTATATGCAAAAAATAGCATGATAGTACCAAGAAAAAGAAAAAAAGTTTTTGCATGTTGCACAGTCTTACTCTGTTCTTTGTCACATTCCAAAAAAATCTTCATATCAAAACGGCAACATCTCCCACACCTGAATTCCCTTCCATGCTGTCGCTGTCTGTACCTCCCATGAGGTCAGCTGTACTGATGTAAAAAAACAATTCCCTGTTTTATGGCAGTCCCTTCTTTGCCTTACTAGCATTTTCCTTGTCATGATAGCCTCAGAGCCATATGTTCCATTATGCCTGCTCTTGGTCTGCAAAAAGAAACAGAATAAGGGAAGCAGAACACAAATAAGTCCACCTATCTGCACAGTTTGAGGCTTATTTTTTGAGGCTTACTTGTTTTCTTTCTGGCCAGAACTCCAGGATGTGAGTAGTGGACAAGAACGTCAGGCAGATCACAATGGTAGGCAATCATAAACACATTTAATGTGTCACATTGACTGTGTTTTAAATGCAAGATATCTTGACATAAAAAGGAAAGGTTAGAAGACATGAAAGAGATAAAACAAACACATCATTCCTAAAAAAAGTTTGTCCCATTGTGTGTATAATTCAGTAAATATAACATCCATCCTGCTATCCTACTCCCAATTCTGTCACACTGTGAAATCGCATTTTAGGGAACACTTTTTCAAGCCATATTTCTCAAGCATTGTTTTACGGTTGAAAATGTGGTCTGTGTTTTATTCTGAGGAGTAATATAGGCTCATTTGGCTCTTTATACTCTATTGACCGGAATTCCAGTCATTTCCAATGTGAAGTGCGCCTTTAAAATGCATTGAAAAACCTTCCTAATTCTGTTTGTTCTACAATTTCTTAAAGATAAATCTTAATTGCAGATTGTGATCAAAAGTTCTAGATATGAGCTACACAATTCCAACAACTCTCAGTCTGGATAATTGTTGATCTCATTTAAAATTAAATATTTCCCTTGGTGGTCACTTGAATTCAGTTGTTTAAAATAGAAACAAATGAAGTAATGCACAAGAAACAGAAATGTGAACACAAATGTAATGTTGGCATTAAATGTAGCACACTGTCAAAATCAAAACGCATTAAGTATGCTAGTATGAGTGCCCCACTCATTAACAAGCCCTGGAAGCATTAACTAAAGAACTTGACTCATCAAGCAGTAAGGTTGTGGTCAGTTTGTACAAATGACATTCTTTTTTTTGCAAGATATATTTCTTAATTTAAAATAATATTTTTATAACATGTTTGCTTTAAGGAGATTCTTCTCTACGTTATCACAATTACAGTGTCACAATAAATAATTTGAATAATGCAAAGGAAGGAACAAGTCAAATTTCAAGACTGTGTAAACACTTGGAAGCAGGTATCAACTTTGCAGAGGATGAAAAGCTCAATATACACTGAATGTCTCCTACTTTAAAAATGTAGAACACTCTGGTTACAAGCAGATTTTCCATCTGTATCCATTCCATGATACAATGATTCAAATGCCCTCAAGGTATGATATCATATTATATTGTATTTACAAAGCACAGTATATACATGAAGTGAATATTGTATATTTGCATATACAGTATACTTGTATATAGACTGTATATTGTAGGGATTTGGGTCAGAGAGCAGGCACCATTTTACTTAAGACAATATTGAAGTGGAAGTTTTTCTTTGGGTTTTCTCATGCCACAGAAACTACTGTACTTCTTATGCTTCCCCGAGCATTTCAATTCCATCAGCTGTTTGCTCTGTTCTGGGAGTGCCCCGGTGCAGAGAGAGGGAGTTTCTTACTGATTTACTCTCTTGGCCTGGCATCCTGGAATAAAATTAAGTCCTGATTGCAGTCACAAGATTGGATAAGTCAGTGTGCCAGGTCATTTGGAGAGAGAGGAGGATACAGTAAGTTAACCACAGAAATTGAGGTGGGTGCTAGCATTTAACGTATGGCATCACAATTGATGTTTTGTTAAGATGTTATCATGTTTAATCCTGATCTCCTGTATCCACCTTGCAGATCCCTCAAGGCAAGACAATCCTTTAGGTAATGTACAGTACCATGATCTCTTGCCCATTGTTCTGGTCAGGAAGCGAATAGCAGACTGATTGGAGCTGAGCTGCACCACATATCATTAGAATGTTTCAGAATGGACAGAACGTTACAATGTCCTGGTCTGGTTTGCAGTCCTGGGAGAAGTTTCTTATCAGAAGTGACCCTGTTAGCTACTTTCCTCTGTTTTACACAGAGGCCCAAGTTGCTTTGCCAAGGCAAGAGGAATATTATTAGAAATATTTTATAACACTTAATTCTAAGTGTAATAGTATGCCTTGCTGTTACAGGAAAATGTTACAATAGAGTTGTACTGTATATATCGCTGGAAGACACTGGGGATTACAAGCACTCATTGAAAAAGAGCAACCACTGGCATTATATTTTCAGTAATTAGTACAGTTTCCAATTGGTGGTGCAGGATGTACTATAATTGACATTTGGTTAGTTTATTGGAGAATTCACCAATACATCATGCTTGGTTTGAAATCCAGCAGACAGCACAGTGTCACAATACATGTTTGTGCCCATTGTATGTAATAAGGAGGAAACTCCAAGAAGGTATTGACAGCAGAGAGGGGTAAAATGAATGGGTTGTAATGTGCATCTGCAAATACGTCGCACATTTTCACTCTCCTGTTATGTTTTCAAGTATTTTCACCTATGGAAATGGCAAATACTGTGCTACTGAGCAGTATAATGCAGTTACGCAAAAACAATTATCTGATTTGTTACTACCATAAAACCCCTTTGAACGGTTTTGAGAGAAAACTGTTCAAGAAGCAGAGATGGTAGCTAGAATGTGATGTCATAAATGCATCTTCAGTTTTCCTGGATATGCCTACTACTACCACCACGGTGTTGTAGTATCTGTAAAAAAATGCATTATATAACAGGTTCATTTCAACTGCTTGAAAACACTACTGAAAGGTTCTTTAAAGTTAGATGTGACAGCATTTACATTACACTGGTCTATGATCTGGATTCTGACCACCTACAGCTTAATTGTGATTTGATGTTTGATATAGCAAACGTATGGGGTATCAAGTTGTCAACATTTGAACATTTGACAGATCGTTCCTAAACCTCTGATAGATTAAAATAGTGTAGTTTTTTAATTAAATCTTTTGATTAAATTGTGATCAGTAGATCCAATGGAAATGATGAGTCTATTCTGTTGTTTTACTGGCTACAGTAATGAATTTGTTTCTCATTTAATAAGATACGTTCATTAACTGAAGATTCCTTTTTTTTGTTTACCAAGCTGAAAGTGAAAATATGAGGAAGCAAATGAAAGAAAAATGAACCTGTTGGACAAGTGTGTGCTGACTCTTCATACTCTGTTTCAGGAAGACGTGTTTTTTATTACAATGGAGGTGGGTCTAACACCAGACACCCCCGGAAACTAGGTGTGTCTAACACTGGACTCCACATGATGCAGATTAACTTGCTTTTCAAAGAAACACTGTTCTGAACCAAAGACATCGCTGCCAGACAAATGAACATGCCTTGTCTCCTGGTGGTTCTTGGAATCAAATAATTTATAGGCACATAGAAGAAAGTTCTGACAAGGAAAAAAAAAACATTTCAGGCAGGTAAGATAAGTCAATTTCTTTCACAAAGCATTTCTCGTGTTAACCTAAATGCAGACTTGTGTTTGTATGAAACTAGCATTAATGTAGTAGAGACAGAATGTTTTCAGGAATTAGTTTCACTTTATGAATATGTTGTACCCTTAATTCCTCCACAATCTTAACAATTGTGAATTCTTAATTTGTTTTTAAATTCCAGTACAGTATATTGTTTATATTAAGACAACATTTTCAATGTGATACTGAATGGTAATCTGAACCTTAAAGCAATAAGCATAACTTCTGTGAATTAGGTTTATGATACAGTATGAGATACTGAGAAAAAATAAAATGAAACAACTAATGGAACCAATGGAACCAATAGCATTACTTGCATTTTAATACCTCCTTGTATTTCGGCTTATCATTTTGGGGACTGAAATACTACATTTAATTGGTCATACTACTAAATTAAATTGGCAAGTGTGATAGAATAGTTAAAATAGCATTTCAGATTACTTTCAATTTGTAGAGTTGTCATCACATTTTTGAAGATTGTGCTCAATGTGAAGATTCTTAAATGATTTGAAAGTTGAATGATCACCAAGAACTCTATTAATAATAGTCAAAGTTGTTATGATATAAAAAGTGTGAATGTTTCTGCTCACTACATACTTATATTTTGACTCCTGATATATTAGATGTCTAATGTTTTTGTACATCAGTGTATGTTTTTTACTGATAGTGCCTGTACTACAAATATATGAAGGCACGTCAATACTTTTCATTTATTGAGCTTTGCACACAAAAATAATTTTTAATTATATAATCGTGATCACTTTTATTCTTATAGTGTGCTTTTCAATCCAGAGCATAATCAAGGAAATACATAATAGAATGTACAGTAAAATACATGAAAAAATGTATAAACATGAAATTAAGTTAAAAGATAAAGGCCATCAAAAATAATGAAGTTTTAAGATGATTAAAAAAGATCAAAGATAGTGCGTTTTTAATACGGTCAGGAAGAATATTCCAAAGACAGGAGAATACCACTGAAAAGGCTAAGTCACCTAATGGACAATGTGAGGTCCTTGAAACACTGAGAAGCATAGAGCCAGTGAAACAAAATGAGTAAAACGAGACGTGTGAGGATAGTAACTCTTGAAGGAATATAGAAGACAGATCTGTTACGGACACGGACTAAGATCCGTGTCATGTCTTGTAGTAGAGCCTATACAATGTGGTAAGAGCTGGAGAAAACAGGAGGCGTGGTAAAAGGGAACAAACAGGGGTTTAATAGTGCACAAAATAATAGTGACAATCCATGAGACAGTGAGAGAGGGAGACAAAGAACAGCATCCAAATCCAAACAGGTCCAAAGGCAGGTCAGGGCATAGTCCGAGAGTCCATCAGCAAGAAATCCATCCTGGGACGTGACAAGGTTTAAATCCCCGGGAGGGGGGAACACACAGTGACAAAACGTGGAGGTCCAAAGGTGGCGGGGTGTGATCCTCCAGACCCTGGGCTCGGGAAGCGGGGATGAGGCCTATGCCCTCAGGAAACGGACGTAGGGTTTCCTGGTGCCAGGCGGGCCTCGCAACATCCTTACCCTAATGATGAACCCCGAGGACTGGAGGAGCTAGTCTTTATACACCTAAAATGGTACACTTGGGGAGCTTAATCACAAGAACAAGAACAGGAGTAGTGGAGCGGCCTCGAGGGAGGGATGTCAGGCATGACAAGACCAAGCACCCTGTGGATCAACGAGACAGTCTCAATCTTTTAAGAGACTGGCAGACAGTGCACCTTTTTCAGCACAGGAGAATTACAGTCAGACTTGGTCAGCACTCAAGCAGTACAGTTCTGAATAGTGTTGTTCTTAACAGTACAGTGTTGATGGAACAATTTAAGGATTCAGTCATGTGTGTAGGTAGATCTGAGTATAATCATCATAATAGTGGAAGTCAGCCTTTTTTGTTTCTGATAATCTGGTCTAAATATTGCAGTACTGAAAAATAAGGGCTGAAGACTGAGCCCTGAAAACTCAGAGATGAGAGATGCAGGTTTTGATTTAAAGTTGTCAAGGCTGATAAATTGATGTAACAAGTTATAACAGAAACTGCTCATTGAAACACTAAAAAAATGTATTCAATAATAAGTTATATTTATTGGAAATATGTTTGGGGTCTTTACTTTTTAAGAATACAAAATTCTTGTATTCATGACCCACCTGCATCTTCCTGGATAAAACAACATGAAAGTCTATAAACCTCGGTAATTCATACTCTTAATTATCTAACTGACAAGGCATGTTTGAAGATTGCAGTTATATTTTAGTTCCTTGTTTTTTTGTCCTTCATAAAACAGTTTCATTACTTATAATATATGATTTAAAGACAGGTAGTTCTTTTGTACGGGTATTTTACGTATATAACATAGAAAATGTAATGTTTTTTTAATTGAAGATATGAGCGTAAAAAAGCTCTTTCCATATTAATATAGTTTAAAATGTAGGCAAGGATATTTTATATAATCATGGGAAAAAATTCTACCTCTTTGTCTAGATTTGTGCTGGATTTTTTTTTTGCAACACCTACAACAATTTATAAGCCTTATCATGTTACATGGCTTCAACAAAAAGAGCACATAGGCCTAGCTTCCTAATTATTCGAGTTATTCAACCAAATGGAGGTTTGGGGGAGATCAAACTTGATCTTCTGCCAGATTTCATAATTGCACATCCACCCGTTGAACCCCAGCCTATCTATCAGTGTTTTATTGTTCTCTTACCCTGATTCTCCTTTCCTGCTGGCCCATTTGTTGTACCAAGCATGTTCACTGTACCAGTCTACATCTGGTTCTGGGTCTTCATTCACAACTCACACCATACCCTGTACCCAGGAAGCAGCCAACCATGTACGGTGTTGGCCCCTGATTCCCAGCCCCCACTAAACACTTCCACTAGCAGTCCAGGGAAACTAATCTCCCACTTGCCATCAAAAACCAAGAAATGTTGCCAGCATTTTTGGGGGTTACACCTGGAATCTATCCTCTGTCATTCAGATTAAGGAAACTGACCTCAGACAGTCAGGTAAAGGTATTTCTATACTTCAAGCTTGATTCTACTATTAACCCTCCATGTCTTTTTATTCTAATCACTCCCTTTGTTTTTGTCAGTCAGCCATTCCACCTGTTCACAATCAAGTATCAGCAAACAGTTATATGCTATTGGTTTCTACACCACCTCATCATCAGGCTAACCAAACTTGATCTCAGCACCAATAGTTCTAATGTTACCCTTTTATGGTCGGCATCGCTTATTCCACAACCCATTATTGCATTTTCTACTATCACACCCTAGATCAGTGTCACTGACCCTGCATGTATCCAAACTGACCTGATCAACCAAAAGCTTGCGTACCGTAGGCTCTTTATTGATTATCCCCTGGGAAAAAATTTTTTTGCGGCATGGTCAAATACAACAACACAACAAAGATAGACAAATATTACCAACAGAGAACATAATACAATAGTGTTACAGGAGATAAAAGACTTACTTTACATTGTTTAAGAGTCATATTACATATTCCCGAGTCCGTTACTTTTACACTTTTACTTTTAGGGGATGAGATACACACTCCACAATACTCTTGGCCTTCTTTACAAGAAGAGGATATGTAACTTGTTTTGATTTGCCCCAATTTTTTTTGCTACTTATTTTCAGTAATGTTCCCAACTTATTACAATAAACTGTTCTGATGTTGCCATACCTACAAGTGAGACAGTCTATTACACTTTCAATAAATAGTATGATCATTTTCAATCATTTTGCTTTGGTTTCAGTGCAAGTTCTCCACCAAGGCATTTGAAGATGCATCAGCATGTTCATTGTAATGTTGCCTTGACGTGTACCATGAATTCTGCTACAGCTCTGATAAGGTTTTTAATTTATTTTTTTAGGACAGCTAGACTTTTTACCTTTCTAAAGTTTTAGTCAGTGTTCCTGGCATTAAATGATACATTTCCCACTAAGAACCTTAGAAATCATTTCAGTTCTAAAGTTGAAGGCACTCAGTTCAGAAGTAACAGAAGTTTTTTTCAATATGAAAGACACCAAAAATCATTTTCTTAATTTTTTTATATAATTAAGTTAATTTTCAACCTTTCGTGACAGTGGCTTTTGTTAAAGCCTCACTGTAATCCTATAGGCGAACACATTTCTTTTGTATGACAAACAGAAGAAAAATATCTCTGCATCACCATTAAGATCAGATTAATCAGACAGACCCTACGTGTATTATGTCATAACATCCAGGCGTACATTTTTAACATACCTGGTATGAAGTTCATGGTATTCGTGGTATGAGCATGGAGAAAAAATGAAAATGAAACAAATATCTTACTTTCTGTCATTGAGGAAGGTATTAAAGTATTATTAGTGACTGCACACTTTCTGATCTATCGTCTGCATGGCATGTCATGACAAGCTGGGAATACAAATGCCATATTGTGGCTCCCTATTTGTGAGGAAGTCAAAATTGTAACATCTTGGGTGTGAATTCCAAAAAGACAAGAACAGCAATTAAAAAATGATCAGTCACTTTTCAATAATAGAAAAGTTATACTTAAGACAAGCATACACCACCACTTTATTAAATTAATCAGAGAATGTTATCGAGCATGGCATTTTTGTGATAATGTTCAAGCCTCATGTTCCTGGAATGCTTACAAATGGGTGATAATCTTGTCACACGCAATGCTAGGTTTTTACTTGCATTAAATAATTCTGTAAGAAAGAATAAATGTAGAAAACGAGATGTACAGGCAAAGTAGTGGATCCTAAATTATGACGTGAGAGAAGAATATATAGTAACTTGTAAGTGTAAGTCACTGTCCTGTATTGTTACATGAATTATAAACTTACTGTACTGTATACTCACAGAGTCCCCTGTATCTAAATGCAAATTGTTTCCTGAAGATATTTCAAACTATAATCCATGTCTACTTCAGGAAACATGTTC